TGTTGCCACACGTTTGTCAGGCGGCTTCTTGTACAGCTTGTCTGGGATATGCTGCTTGATCCTTTCCGAGAATCGCTGACATGTCTCACCAACGTACGTTCGCTCACAGCGACACGCATACTTATAAATAAAATTACTATTTTCAAGAGTTGGTGAAACATCCTTCGCGATAGACCTGAATGCGGGCCTGGTTGTATAAATTACAATGGGGGATACTGTAGGATAGCAGTTCAAAATTGCAGCTTTAATCTTTTTGCGGAAGGCAATGCAATTTTGCCCTTTCCACGGCAATTTTGTGATAATACGCGTTGCAGGTTCAAGTTGTGCAGAAGCTGTATCTGGGCTAGGTTCAAGAACGCTTGTCATGACTCGCTTGAGTACTTTGAGTGGGTAACCGTTAGAACACAGAATATCCTCTAGCTTAGCAATTTCAGCTGATAATAGTGATGGTGAGCAGATGGTTTTAGCTCTGAAAGTTAATGATCTGATCAAATTGATTTTGTTTCTAGTGTCACAAAACGAGTCCCAGCGGGTGTAAAGACCTGTGAACGTCGGCTTTCTATATACTGTGGTGAGCAATTCTGTGGAAGAATGCTTAATCAATACATCAAGAAACGGCAATTCTCCATTATTCTCCTCCTCCATTGTAAACTGGAGAGCTGGGTGAAGATTATTTAAACGCTCAGAGAATTCCAATGCCAGTTTCCGGTTGTGAAATGCTGCGAATGTGTCATCCACATAACGCCTATAGAATTGGGGCCAATGACTGTCTGGAATTGTGTTCTCAAAATATCCAACAAAGATATTGGCTAGCACGGGGCCCAAGGGTGAACCCATGGCTACTCCGTCCCTCTGTGCGTACATATTGCCATTGAAACTGAACTGCACGTCTGATGTGGCTTTGAAAAGCAGCTTCTTGAAAAGATCTTGGGGTATTTGCGGGGCTGATATTTCATCATCATGGTATAGCGACTGTATGCAGATATCTATTGTTTCCTTGAGAGGCACGTTTGTAAAGAGGCTGACTACATCGAAAGAGCACAGGAACAGCGATCCAGAGTTCTCTGCCTGCTGCTGGCCAAATTCCCGTACATCATCCACGAACTCGAATGTATCCTTAGTTGCGTGGGCGGAATATTTGTTCAGGACTGGTTTTAGTAATTCAGCTAACCACTTGGCCATTTCGTGTTGGGGAGCATTGATCATGGACAGGATTGGTCGAAGTGGCACGTCTTTCTTATGTATTTTCGGTACGCCATATAGCACAGGTCGGCACGAGCCAACGGGTCGGATCCGGTCGTAATCTATATTGAGTATTTTTCCAGCCTTTTTGTATCGCAATAGGTATGCCTGCAAGGCGCGTTCATCCAGGTAAGTACGGTCATGCGTTTCCGTTGGTCCCAGGAGTTGAAACTTCGATGCATCAGCCAGAATAGCATTCATCTTGTCATTGTAATCACTTCGCTGCATTATCACCACTCCATTCCCTTTGTCCGGCCTGCTGATTATTATATCTTTGTCATTCTTTATTTTCCTGATGGCTGCCATATGCTTGTCGTTGAGGGGATAATCGGTTTTATCTGCTTTACTGTTACTAAACTCTTCTGCAAGATTCGCCAACGCTGCTTGACACGTATCCCTCTTGGCATCACTCACTGGTACGCAGCGCTCCAATTGATCATTTGTTAGTTCGAATTCTGCCTGCACAATCTCCTTGTCCATTCTAGCATTTTTCCACTGCTCCATACATTCTTATGGTAGTGTAGTGTGAACTTGAGGCGCGTAAGAATATTCTTGCTGATTCTCTACCCCCAGTATAAATTCTGGCTTCGTTTTCGTTCTTGCTCATTCCCATGTATCTACTGATGAAAATGGGTGAAAAGCTTTTAGTGTTATGAAACTGACAACCTTGTTGTTGTGTGTATATATATATATATATATGCAGAGCTCACTGACTTGTCAGTTTGAGCACTCTGGCAAGGTACGTTCGGACCTGATTGGACATTTTTATTTCCATTGCTATCAGGTTCGGCCTCATTTCCTCTGTGCTGCGCTGACGAGTCCACAAAGGACGAAACAGTTCTGTCCGCAGATTGAGTATATATATATATATATATATATATATCTTTCTATCTTTCTTTCTATCTATCCATCCATCCATCCATCCATCCATCCATCAATCCATCCATCCATCCATCCATCAATCTATCTATCTGTCAATCTTTCTATCTCGCTCTCTCTTCCGTAGTGACTTGGGAAGTGCATACCGTTTGCAGGGTGTATCTGAACACGGGTTGATAATCAGACTGATTATCCACGTTAAGGCTTGTGGTGTGTTGAGACCATGGTGCTGAGCCTTAAGCCTTATAATTATGATAATGGTGTTTTTTGTGCACTATTCCCAACTTGTGCTTGCATGGCCAGTCGTTCTACTCCAGAGGCCGAGGTTCTCCCAATCGTTGGGGAAACCCTCCCAGCTACGCGGCGTTACAGGGCGGCGATCCCTAACCCAGTCCCCATGGTGTGTAATGAGCGACCAACGCCCAGGTCGAAAGGGGGATGTACTTTCCATGCACAAACTGCGGACCCTGCGACAGCGTCCCGTCATGGACAATGCGGGTAAGGCTCGTTGTCTCTCTGGCTCAATCACTCTTACTCTCTCATGACCTCTGTGCCTAACTTTGTTTGTCACGCTCTCTGTATCTCTCCCTCTCTCTCTTTCCCTCTCCCCCTCTCTCCTTCTCTCTCTCTCTCTCTCTCTCTCTCTCTCTCTCTCTCTCTCTCTCTCTTCCTCTCCCTATCTCTATCTTTATCTCTCTATCTATCTACCTAGCATGCTGTACGCAGATTGAGTACCTATCTATCTATAAATCTATCTATCTATCTCTCTCTCTCTCACACTCTCTTCTGTAGTGACTTAGGATATGCATACTTTCTGCAGGGTGTATCTGAACACGGGTTGATAAGTGGACTGATTATCCACGTGATGGCGTGTATTGTTTTGGGACCATGGTGCTGAGCCTTACATGATAATGGTTTTTGTTTTTGTGCATTATTCCCTACCTGTACTCAAATGGCCAGGAGCTCTACTGCACAGCCTGAGCAAGCAGCAAACTGTGACAACACGGTCCCATGTACCAATCATCACGAAGCGCCCGATCGATGCACCCCTTCCAACTTTATTTCGGATATCCATGGTTTGTCTGTTTCGTTTTATTCGTTGTTGCTGTTGTTGTTGTTGTTATTTTTGTTGTTGTTTTAAATCTTTATTCTCACGAAAGCCAGTGGCCAATAAGAGATCATAGTGTAAGAAAGGAGAAAGAGTGAGGACAATTTTTTCAGTCCTGGCTTTAGACTTTATGCTAGGGTTTTATGTAGGTTGATGTTTACTTGTTTATTCCATGTTTAGTCCATAGTTTCTTTCCTCACTTTGTGTTAACCCTTACATCTCGTTATCCTGCTGGCGAACATTGTATTGTTTTGTTTTTTCACGGCTGAGAGTAGCGAAAGAGTGCAAAAAACGTATTTTCACTCACAAATATTTTCGTGCCTTTGCTCTTGTTCTGCGCAACTCCGTTGAGCCGGCCATCGTTGTCTTTGTTTTTCCTCGTGGTAGTTGAAGTTGCCCACCCACCCACCCTGGTTTCATGGGGGTCTTCCCCTGTTCTTCTTGATATTGTATGCCAATGTGTGTGGCTTATGATTATGACATACACTGGTTATTACATGCCATTTCTTGCTGTCTCTATACTTGGGTCCGACTGGCAGCGGGGCAGGAATTAATGAAATAGAAAGGTTTTTTGGCCGAAAGGCGTGTTTTTCCTCTAGCCCGGTTGAGCGGTCGCGGCTAGGAATGTAGGGAGTCATTGTTTTCAGGCGCTCCCCTGCTGTCCAGTCACCCATGCTCACCAATGGCCATGCTGTTTCACTTGATTTCACGGACTTTTCTCCCGCTTTCTGGCGGTTCTTTGATGGATTTAGATGTTTTTCGGCTATTTATCTATTATGTGGCTGCGAGTGTGGTTTTTTGCTTCTACTCATTTCTGGAAAACCACCACAGTGGTGAGTGTGATTGCTCTGGCAGACCCCTACCCCATGTACTGAACAGTCGCTTTGTGAGTGAAAAACAATATTTCGCGTTGTTTCACCTACATGTAAATAAATTTTGTTTTTGTTTTCCCTCAAACCCGTGAACAACATGCGTGTAAATGTAGTGACTTTTGTACTTTTTAGCATCTTACAAAAAAGTTCTTTTTGCATGTTTGAGCGCATGACTGAGGGCCGGGAACTAGGCATTGGCGGATAATGCTCGAAAAGGTTGCAGATTTTGCTCGAAAAGCAGTGAAATTGGCAGAACTATACAAACCTTGTGCATATATGGCGGGCGGTTTGTGCATATATGGTTGGCAATTCCTCGAATTCTGCTCCATATTTTTATCCACATACCAAACATGCATGAAACATACCAGAAAAAGTACCGAATTCTGCCAATTTTTCTGCCAACATTATCCGCAAAGGCCTACCGGGAACGCATGCTGTGGCTCCATGAGCCGGGTGTGGGGGCAATCGGATACCGTTTCGGACAACTTGTCTGCGAAAAATTCAGGCCGGCAAAGCTCATCACTGGGCACAACCTCCAATGCGTGCAATCGAACATGGCTGAACAAGCGGTCACGTGTTCGTGAGTACACCAGTCACCTGGTCACCTTTCCTGCAGCCTACAATTTACAGCATGATTGGGCGAGTTTCTGCCACTCGAGTTGAACCTTTGAACCTTGATAAGAAAGTTGTCGCCTGCTGGCGTGGTGACCAGGTGACTAGTGTAGGCAGGAGCACATGACCGCTTCTTCAACTATGTTCGATTGGGAATATGGGCAGAACGCTGGATCGCAGCCTTTTCGGACCAAAACCAGTCGACTCAGCGTCCAAAAGACTACAACATATGGGCCAAGCGCGGTCATCCGTGCTTTTATAAGAACGAAATGGCGCTTTTAGTGACATTTTGGATACAAATCCCCATCTAGTAGGGCGCAGTCTAGGCCCCGGCGGATTATGCCGGCATGGTGGTTGAAAATTTGGAGCATAATTTTGCGTCCTTTCGGAGGTAGGAGCATAACTGTAATGGGTAGCCGAGTGGTAGGCGCGGTGAAATCAACAAGAATTACCTTTATTCTACTTTCAGGTACACACCTGAGATATAATTATTAGTGAAAGAAGAAGCGGCAAAATAAATAACTTTCTCTCCGGTGCTCACCTAGAGGTTGACTACTTCTTCTTCGAGTTAGCTTTCGTTGCTATCTAATCTAATCTTCATCAAAACAGAAATGCGCAGCCGCTTTTATGCAGCAGACGCCGTACGCTTACATACGGAGATACACTAAATATACATCAGGCAAAGCTCCGTATTAGTTCCGTACTGCTTCCTTATTGGTCGGGCAGGGATACTACACCCTCCCTTCCTACAGATAATCACGCCCTCGTGATTTTCAAAATATTAGTGAAGAGTTACGAACACAGCGTCAACCGGAAGATGGCAAATTATATCGGAAATGGTAACGTTTAGAGGAGACAGAAGAAATGAACTGATAACAAATCATAAAGTAGAAGCACATCAGGTTCACACGATCTCACGGGGTCAAAAGGGGAAAGAACTGTCCTCCAAATAGGACCTGAAAATCCACAGCACTCTTGCTGCACAACGCTGGCACAACCCGCCAGGAACATCGCAGTTCAAAAACCGAACTGAATACACTATAACTATAAGGGGCGTTGTCACACACATTGTCCCACGTTAGCTGGGTAAACCGTGGCTCACCATGATCAGACGCCTACCAAACTAAACTGGATTCACACTCGCATAAAGGAAGACTGAAGAGAACAGGGCGACTGAAGGAAGACAGGCAAGAAAATGCCATACCTGGAATCCGCGTTAGTAACCACAGCGGCGGCTGGAGCTATGGCGGAGGGCGAGCCAGGTTTTATCTTCATCTTGGTTGAGCCGGTCACTCAGAGCGGCTAGCTCGGCGTCAGACAAATAACCTCCCTCCTCGTCTTGAATCGTGGTCTTCACATTGTCGATAGCATCGCTTTGGGCGACGTAAAGAGTGATGGACTAGCCAGGAAGAGTGTTGACGAAAATCTACATTCCACCACGGAGACGAAGAATATTACCAAGTGAAGAGTGGACTCCTGCTGAATGTTGTAGTCACTCAGGGTTCGGCTGTCTGCCAACTGCGTGCCAGCGAAAATCAAACGCTGCTGGTCTTGGGGAATACCCTCCTTGTCTTGGTCAGCAGCCTGCCTGTCGTCGTCCTCATCAGCTTCGCCATCACCACCGGTAGTGTACATGCAGGTAGCGGGTCGCTTGGAATCGCCATCGGAGTCTCCAGTGTGTGCCGTGGGGAGAGAAGGGTAATCCACGCTAGCACCCTGACTGTGCTGCAGGCTAATAAGCAGGGCCAGCCCAGGAAGGCAAGAAACATGATTCTCATCTTGATTCGTCGCACGAAGCTGCAGCGGGTTGAGCCATGGGGGTCTGGGGTCGAATCACGTTGTTTTATTTAAAACTACACCGCTGCCACCAATGTAATGGGTAGCCGAGTGGTAGGCGCGGTGAAATCAACAAGAATTACCTTTATTCTACTTTCAGGTACACACCTGAGATATAATTATTAGTGAAAGAAGAAGCGGCAAAATAAATAACTTTCTCTCCGGTGCTCACCTAGAGGTTGACTACTTCTTCTTCGAGTTAGCTTTCGTTGCTATCTAATCTAATCTTCATCAAAACAGAAATGCGCAGCCGCTTTTATGCAGCAGACGCCGTACGCTTACATACGGAGATACACTAAATATACATCAGGCAAAGCTCCGTATTAGTTCCGTACTGCTTCCGTATTGGTCGGGCAGGGATACTACATAACTACATGATTGTACCACAGTTCTAGTGTGTAGGCTACACAATTGTGTATAATGCACCTGATCAGTGCTGGCGAGCTCCATGGTAAAGGGTTCGGAGGTCATGCAGATACATCATAGTGTTTTCAGCGAAAAGCAAGGTAGAAATCATGGCAATACAGTCATTCAAGTATTGTATGCTCGAACTCGTCTTCTTCAAAGTAAAGGTTCTTTCTCACACTGATAGTAATACAGTACATGTAGCAAAATATGCGAGTGAATCAGCTAGGATCCAGCGGATTCTGCCGGCAGAAAAATTGGCAGAATTCGGTACTTTTTCTGGTAAGTTTCATGCATGTTTCGTATGTGGACAAAGAAATGGAGCAGAATTCGAGGAATTGCCCGCCATAAGGTTGTACGGTTCTGCCAATTTTACTGCTTTTCGAGCAGAATCTGCCACCTTTTCGAGCAGAATCCGCCAGTCTCTAGAATCAGCCTTTATGAAGTATCCCGGGGTGGACGAGATAGTGACGGGTAGTTCACAACCTGACTCTGCGTACATGTACATTATTCATGATACGAAGTCGTGAGTCGTGACCTCTGGAT